TTCCAGTTTAGTAAATCAACCCCAATGTGTACGTACAACCCAAAAAATGGAGAGAAATCTCCCACTGATATTTTGAAGTAGGACAAAATGAGGAATGAATGATGTACTGGGGAAGGAGGAAAAAGGGGAACCTCCTTGGGAAAAAAAGAAGTCTTTAAACTTCAGGACAACCTTAGCCTTGTGCAACACCATGAAAGGCTCCTTGCAAGAGAAGGCTGCCAATTCAGAGATTCGCTTTGCAGAGGTGATAATCATGAGAAAGGCCACCTTGCAATAATCATGCAAGAGAATAGCCTTTGTTGGCTCAAGAATCAGTTTCTGAACGGCCAAGAACACTAGGTTGGAGTTCCACTTCAAGGAATCATCAGGGGGAGGAATATGTGTGATTGTAACGAAGGAAAGAGGACAAAGCTTGCAGAAAAAGAACTACCGTGGCAGAGATTTGTCCCTTGGTGGTTTTTAAGGCCAAATGCCAGTTTTGACCAGATTTGATAAAGGACAAAACATGTCTCACGGAGGTCTAACTCCCACCATGCAAAATAAGCTTTCCAAGTGTGGTGGGAGACTTTTCAAGAAGTCAGTTCCTAGCTTTCAGCAACATATGGAGAATACATATGAAATTACCTTGTATCTCAGAATTGTGTCTTCAACAACCATGTAGTCAAAACCAGCAACTGAGAAGCAGAATGGTGAACCATTCCCTGAGACAGGAGGTCCGCACGATCCAGGAGAGACCACAGAGGTGTCTGCCAGGAATCCGAGTATATCTGAATATCACATCCTCCTGCTCCTATTACTCCACTCTCCCACTGACCCGAACACCTCCACCTCAGCTTGTTCTATTAAGTTTTGAAAAAACCTCCCTCACCCGAAACTGGAGCCTGATTGGTTTCTGTGCAGAGCTGCCTGACCAGGATTTTTCACTTTCCAGTTTAGTAAAAGCAACCCCAATGTGTACGTACAACCCAAAAACCCAAAAACCGTACCTCCCAAACCCCCCCTCCCTATCCTTCTCCTCCGAGGCCCACTGCGTCCGACTATTCTCCCCAACCCCCCTGAAGATTGCTGTGATATACCGGCCTCCTGGATCCATACCCCACTTCCTGGATGACTTTTCCTCGTGGCTACCCTTCTTCCTCTCCTCTGAGCTACCCACCATCATCCTTGGGGATTTCAACATCCCTGTCAACCTCGACAACCCGGACACACATCCCATCTCCTCCACTTAACCTCCTCCTTTGCACTTGCACAGTGCATACAATCCACCACCCACTCCAACAGTAATATTCTTGATCTTGTCTTCTCCAACCGCTGCGCTCCCCACAACCTCACTAACACCCCCTTTCCTCTCTCTGACCACAACCTGACTACCTTCTCTATCTCCTCGTCCACCAACGCCTACCCCTCCAAATGTCACACTACTACCAGCCGTAACCTCTGCAACCTTAACCCTGCCCCCCTCCACTCTGCAGCTGATCAACTCCATGACAGCATCCTCCCCCTGTCCTGCCCCGACTTGGCTATGACTGCCTACAACAACACGCTGTCAACAGCCCTTGACTCACTAGCGCCTTTAACCACACGCAACATCAGACCCCGACCGCTCCAGCCACAGTCGTGCCCTGGAGCGACTATGGTGCAAAACCAAATCCCAACAAGCCTTCACCCGCAACAAATCTGCCTTCCACACCTACACCTCCTCCCTCCACGCAGCCAAACAAGCCTACTTCCTGACCCTCATCAAGACCCTCTCCTCCAATCCTCGCCGACTCTTCTCCACCTTCAACTCTCTACTCTCTCCACCCCCATCTCCACCCAGCACCTCACTCACCGCCCTTGAGATTGCCTATCACTTCAAAAACAAGATTGACACAATTCGCAAGGACATTGCCGCAACTCACACGCCCTCTCAACCTGTCCCCTCTCACACAGCTACCCCCTCATCCCCCCTCCCCCTCGACATAACCCGCAGGGACTTCGTCGCTGCTCAAACTCCCTCCAATCCCGTTCCCCCTCACTCAGCTACCCCCTCATCACCCCTCTCCCACGGCCCCACCACTGCTCTGACCTCCACTTCCACCCCACCCTACATTCCTCATACTGAAGCTCCCCCAACACTCCGCACATTTGACCTTACTACCATCGAGGAAGTCTCCAAGATCCTCTCTGATGCCCGCCTCACCACCTGCCCCCTCGACCCTATCCCCTCACAACTCCTATGACCCCCCTCCCCCTCCATCCTACGCTCCCTCACCCACATCTTCAATCTCTCCCTCTCCTCAGGCACTTTCCCCTCCCCTTTGAAATGCACACATCACCCCCATACTTAAAAAGCCCTCTCTGGACCCCAATGACCCGAACAACCTCAGACCCATCTTCCTGCACCCATTTACATCTAAACTCCTTGAGCGCCTCGTCTACACCCGCCTATGCTCTCACCTCAACGACAACCACCTCCTCGATCCCCTACAGTCTGGCTTCCGTCCCCTACACTCCACCGAAACCGCCTTACTCAAACTCTCCAACGACCTTCTAACCGCCAAAGCTAATGGCCACTATTCAGTGCTCCTACTCCTTGACTTCTCTGCAGCCTTCGACACAGTCGACCACCCCCTCCTCCTCAAAAAACTAGACTCCCTCTGCCTCAGAGATTCTGCTCTCTCCTGGCTCTCATCCTACCTGTCCAATGCTCCTTCAGCATTACCTATAATGCTACCACCCCCCCTGACTCTCTCTGTTGGGGTCCCTCAATGCTCTGTCTTTGGGCCCCTTCTCTTCTCCATCTACACCTCCTCCCTTGGCCAACTCATACACTCTCACGGCTTCAACTACCACCTCTATGCCGACGACACACAAATCTATCGCTCAACCCCCTACCTCACCCCCTCAGTCTCTGCCCGAATCACACACCTACTGAGCGACATATCAGACTGGATGTCGCTCCACTTCCTTAAACCGAACCTCTCCAAAACCAAGTTTCTTGTCTTCCCCCCAGCCCGGACACCACCACCCCCATTGACTTCTCCATCACATCCAACAACGCCACCATCAAACCCGCCCTGCAGGCCAGAGTACTTGGTGTCATTCTGGACTCCAACCTATCCTTCCAGCCCCAAGCCCAATCTTTAACAAACTCGTGCAGACTCCACCTCCGCAACATCGGCAAAATACGCACGTTCCTAACCCCAGAAAACACTAAACAGCTCATCCACTCCCTCATCATATCACGACTCGACTACTGCAACTCCCTCCTCACTGGCCTGCCTCGCCGCTGGCTATCCCCGCTTCAGTAGATCCTGAATACGGCTGCCAGACTCATTCACCTTTCCAACCGCTCCGTTTCCGCCACCCCCCTCTGCCAATCCCTCCACTGGCTTCCGGATGCGCAACGGATCAAATTCAAAATCCTAACACTGCTGTACAAAGCTGTCCACCATACTGCCCCGAACTACATCACTGACCTAATATCCAAGTACCGCCCAGCACGCACACTCCGCTCCTCACAAGACCTCCTTCTCTCTAGTTCCCTGGTCTCCTCCTCCCATGCCCGCCTCCAGGACTTCTCCAGGGTGTCACCCATCCTCTGGAACTCCCTGCCCCAACCCATCAGATTATCACCTACTCTCCTCTCCTTTAGGCGCACCCTGAAAACCCATCCCTTCAGGGAAGCCTACCCCACCCCCTGCTAACCTGCCAACCTCCTCCACTCTTCCTACCACTTCATCCCCCACAGCTATTTCCTCCTGTACCACTATCCCCTCCCTCCTAGATTGTAAGCTCCAAAGAGCAGGGCCCTCAATCCCCTCATGTTTTGCATTATATTGGTATTGTTCTGTCACATGTTCTATCCCCCTTTGTAATGTACAGCGCTGAGCGAACTATTGGCGCTTTATAAATACTGTATAATAATAATAATAAAGAGGATCACCAATTCTTCATAGTAGGCAAGGAAGGAGCAGCAAAGAAAACTAGCAAAAACACTGAAGGAGTAGGGGGAATTATGCAGAGGTGGGTTTTCAGCTTTGATGTGCTAGTGTCCAATCACCTGGAGGTGGAACATAACCCATTGTTCTAACAATTAACCAATTGTGTACCCTGTGATGTATAACATACAATGGTTTATGACCCAGGGTTTCAAGAGTATCATTACAATACAAATAAGGAGACTGTAACAGCATTTTTTCCATCTTGATTTATTTATTTTTTAAGCTGAACTTTGGTGCGATATAAAAAGATAAAAAGATAACACTAAATTCCCTTATACACTTATTACATGTATCTTTAATGTAGAAATTTGATTTGATATAATTCTCCCCAGCACCCAGACTGGGAGGAGAGGGATGGAAGCACTAGAAGCCGATCTGACTCTGCAGTGTCCAAATCTGTACTAATAAATAGTAAACATGCTGACAGGTAAGAAACTGAGGAAGCACACTGTCCCAACAGCAGACTTTTAAAAAATTTAATTTTTAAAAAAAATGTATGAATATCAGTAAATGAATGTTAATCAAAAATCACTAGAGTTTCCATTTAAAGGAGCATTGGTATACACTAGCAATTGTAACCACTTATGTGCAGATGGCAATGGCAATCTCTTAGATTGTAAGCTCCAAGGAGCAGGGCCCTCCTAACCCTCTTGTATTGAACTGTATCATTGCTGTATTGTCTCCCTTTATATTGTAAAGCGCTGAGCAAACTCTTAATATATAAAATCCTGTATAATAATAATAATGGCCAACAATGTTTGGAGTAGAGCAGTATCCAGCATTGTGACAGTAATAAATAAATGGTCATGATAATTACTTTGCTTACATTAAATTATAAAACTAATCTCCATTCCATGCTTGCAGAAATGAACAAATGTCAGGTGAAAATGAACAGAAGAGACTTCATACACATGTGTTTTATGACAAAATTCATTAGAAACAAAGTTTATTTCTACAATAAAAAAACTGTACTGCGGCAGACAAAAAAACAAAGGGCAATGTATATCACAAGAACTATTTTTTATTAAAGTACTTTGTTATGAGTGCTGACAGTAGGTCTTTGTAGGGGGTGTCAGAGTAGGCCTTGGTCCGTGGAACTCTGAAGAGTTGTTGTACAGCTGGTGATTTTAGCAACAAATTTTGCGATAAGCCTACTAAGCTGGAGGAGACCCAGTACAGGGCCATACACTGCAGAAAATAGAAACAAGTCTGTATTTAGGAACATTCAGCATTCTCTGGCAGTTCAATCTGTAAACCGGAGTTAACACTAGAAGTTCCGCAATACGGAATGTAAGAAATGCCCACTCACCGGAACCACACTTGATACAGTGCAGTGTATAATAGTTATTCCCTGGTGTCACTGGAAGTATACATCTGGTTCAGCCCTTGGAAAAGTATCCCTCTTTAGATCAGACAGGTCCAGGGTCACAGCAAATAAGGCTCTCCCTCTGACGATGTGCGTGGCACGTAACGCGTAAGGAGGAGCCTGTTCATGCCGTCAAAGCATCGTGGAGCTCCAGCGGCCATTTCCCTCTATGGACGAAGCTGTGTTACTCCGATTCCATCCAGAGTGGGAGGTTTCTATTTGCTGCAAAAGTAACACCCACACATCCCTTAAGGGGAACTCTGTGTCGGAGCCTTATTTGCTGTGACCCTGGACCTGTCTGATCTAAAGAGGGATACTTTTCCAAGGGCTGAACCAGATGTATACTTCCAGTGACACCAGGGAATAACTATTATACACTGCACTGTATCAAGTGTGGTTCCGGTGAGTGGGCATTTCTTACATTCCGTATTGAGGAACATCCACTGATCGGGAATAACTGAGGACTATTGATTTAAGCGCTGCACTATTTCTTTGATATTATTTTGATTGAGGTTTTACTGGTTGCCTTGAGCGTACAGCTGCTGAACTGATTAGCGTTCACTTTTTTACTTTGTTTACCTAACACTAGAAGTTATTTTCATTCAACTCAGCGGGCTGAACGGAAAAAAAAAGAAAACAGAGAGATTGCCATACTAACACAAGCGATGTTAGCGCAGTGACCTCCCCCGCTGCCAGCACTGATTAGATGTGGTTCAGATGCTGGTGCTAGTTTTTCAACATGCCTGTTCAACAGAAGCTGGTTCCTGCTGAACTGACTGATTTTCAGCCTGTGTTTATAAGGTTTAAATGTGTCACCTAAAGTGCATATTTGTGATATACCCATAATTAGGAGGACCAGCTGATTACACTCTGAGATAATGTTCGGGGCTTGAACTAGTTATGTTAGAGCTGTTGTGGAAAAGAATCGATTGGAATTAAAATTTTCTCTGTTGTCTGCAATTAAGACATCAAAGCTGCCAGTAAATGAAATATCTATCTCAAAAATGTTTGGTTAGAACAGACAAATACATCAAAAACCTTATTTTGTGCATTTTTGTATATATTATCCCACATTCCAGGTGTACAGATTGCTTACTATGGTTTTAGTGATTACCCATTACATTCATGTATACCTTGTGTATTGGCTAGCTAAGGTCTCACAAGCTGCAGGTAGTATGGATTTGTCCTGTTTTTCTGATGTACATGTTATTACTATAAGCCAGATGGATCAACATGTTCTTCCTGGGGTTATTTCCCCACAGCCACCAATCACATTCAAACTTGCAGAGCAGGTCTGATGCTGACTGGTGGCTTTAGGTAAATAACTCCAGTGCCAAATAGGATCATGCTGACACATAACACTATATGTGTAATGTATTTTGTAGGTTCACTGCTGTCTGTGCTTCTTTATCGGATAAACCATTACTGACATAGTAGTAAGTAACCACTTACCGAAGGAACGGTGGCTGCAATGGGGATCATCACAACAGACGCTGCCCGAAGAAAGTTGGTTATGTATCTCTGAAATTTAGACAGCTCAATCTTACGAAGGGTAAACATCTGTGAAAAGATGGAAAAGCATACTGAGGGAAGTGTCTAATTTTAATGTTTCTCCTGACCACAGAGGAAACCATGAAATGGTCTCCTAATTTGACTGGTTTCAGGATTATAGTTGAGTCAGGTAAGGATTCTGCAGGACAATAGACACAGCCACACCCCACAGTGATCAGCAGCAGTCTTTCTGGGGACTATTCTGCCCCACCCTGAGAAAAATTAGCAAAGGGCATGCCTGCTTGTAACCCTTGTCCCTGCATCACTGAAATATATCTGCTTGCCTGGGCCATCTGACCTTCCATGTTTACAGTATGTGACATGAGCAAAATAGCCTTCTAGCTACCTAAATTGGCTATATGCACAGAGACTAGAGAAGCCAATGAATTCACCATTATTTGAATTAATCTATTTCTATATACAGTTTAAAATAATGTGAGAAAAATTCAAACTATTTGGAAACAAATGTAACCAAATTATAGAATACAGTAACATATGATAAGCTCAGATGCCAAAAGGAAATTAATGTGTATGTGAACTCTAACTTTAGATATAAACTTTCTATATGTAATTTCTGTTCGTCTGTCAAATATACCCTTGAAAGATCTTTGTTATTTCTGTTCAATAAGTGCAAAAAAATCAGTTGATCCTGCCAGACATTTTGTAACCTGATAGTTTTTGTGCTCTACACCTCTGCTCCTACTTATCAGTAAATCACTGTTTCCAGCTCTCTCGCGCTATGTGGATTACAGAACACCACCCTCCCCCATATTATATAGAGGAAGGTGTTCTGAAGTCCTAAAACACTTATGGTCCTAGGATGACAATGCTGATCCTCCTTATATACAGTCCAATAAGTGAGTGAGTATCGTCACCAAAGAGTAGCATATTTGCCAATAGTCCCAGATATGCCCGTACAGTCCTAATTTTTACACAGCTGTCCATGACTGTGTCCTGGGTTATGTCCCAGGTTCACAGTAATCTGCAGAAGTGTCCCTAGCACTGGGCACCTGGGGCATTTGTCTATCTCTTGGCGAGTGCTCCCACTGGCCCAAGTTCTGACACAGCAAACCATGCCAACACTGTTGAATTGGCCACTGCCAACTTCTCTCCCCACCAATTAGATTGAGTGCCTGCTCTGCAGGCAACTTTCAGGCATGAGAGCCAGTAGCAGAAAAGACCCCTGTCCAGGCTGCTGCTCTGCTCACTATGATGTATCTAGTTGTTGATTGGCTCACTTCTTCCTGACACTGCCCTGAGTCACATATGCTCCTGCTAAGTAGACGATCCTTGGCTTTGGCCAGCAGGCAGTGAAGCCAAGTAGGATTTTCCAAGTGGAATCAAGCTGTAGCCTCCAGCATGGGACAGCAATGCACCAGCAGGATGGCAAAATGGACTGAGGAACACCTGAGCTTCAAGAGCTCCAAGCCATTACCTTCTGCCCCTTTTAAACCAGATTACAGGCAATGGATGACAGGGCAAGATTAGTCTCAGCACCCACATTATCAGACTCTTCCAGCACTGGAATAAGCACTATTAAGTCCCCACCTGTCACAGCTGTGGCCTCTAGCTGGAAGAAGCTAACAGATAAAAGTAAAGCTGGTCAGACACCAATAGATTTCTTTCATTCAACCTGCAGGCTGAACGAAATAAATCTAGCTCCTACATCCATACTAACAAGGTACAGATAGACTCATTTCTCACTGTGGATATTGTATTCTAATAGTCAGAATACCTGAACAGTGACTGCATCAAATTGGATCAGCCAACAATTTTTGACATAGCGCCATCGAATTTTCAGTTGAAGGATGTTGGGTGAACAGGGCAACCCACTGATAGTATTTTTGCTGGTTCATTAGGAATTGTCCAAAATCCATTAATAGGTGGATCGTATCTGGGCCAATTCAGAAGGGGCTGCCCAGTCAGGGAAAAAAAATACAAATTCCTGAATCCTAGGCTCCCTTGGACCTCGGATTTGTCCCAATGCTGTTTCCCGTCTTTACTACCTCCACCCTTGGTGCTGGGTGGTGTATCTATTCTGCAATGGTACCCGCTGCAACAGGATAAGCTGAAGTGAGCCAGCAGCAGGCAAGGAAGGCAGCAGTGAAGGGTGGTCCAGCAGTCTTGCACACTGTCACTTAGGCTCATAGGTAAGTGAACAGAAGTGGCAGGCTGAGTTATAAGCAGGGAGGAAAAGAAAATGATCTGCGGGCCTCACTCACCACAAGGTTACAACATGCAGTAACAGCCCCCCACACTGAGCACCAGAGGATAAAGAGAATATCAGTTTGTTTACCAATATATATATAATTGCTTGATAAAGGTTTTAAAGGGTACAAAATATTCTTTTTTAATTTTATACAAACTAAAAGAAAATATTTAGAATGCCAATTTTTTTTAGTATCCTCAAAGCCTCAATATATTGGAGATATTGTAAATGTATCCACTGTGGAAGGTAGATATCTATATATCATATCCTTAGACTTCTATTTCCCTCAATAGTAATGTACATTTTTCCAAGGTTTAAATACACTAATACATTGGAGTGGATCTCTGACATGTATCCATAAAAATGTACACAAAAGGGCTAGTTTCTTTATAAGAGTATATTTGTACCTCTACAAGAAGCAGGTTGATGAAACCCAAAGATATTGGGAGGATCCAAGTAGAATCTGGAACAGTGAGATCAGGAAACCAGAGTGTCCCCCCTTCCTGTAGTTGCTTGTGAAGCAATTGCCCTGAAAACATACATTTTGTTCATATCAGTAAACAAAACAGTTTGATGCAGTTTGATGAGTCTCCCATGAGTGTTGTTTGGTGACAAAGAAAAATGGAAAGTAAATTATACCCTCTATTCCTTGTTAATGACACCAGGAGTCAAATGATGAAGATTTGTATACAGATAATAAAAAAAAACAAAAGCAAGTATAAAAAAAGTGGCACCCTCCGAGGGACCCCAGCTGAAAACATCTCATTTGATCTCTGCCAGCTTACTCTGAGCAAACTCCCAGAAGAGAAAGCAAAGAGAAGGTGCTTAAAATGGCACTAAATTTTGGGTTAAAAAAATTCTATTCAAGCATGTAATATGTATTATGTATGAGATTTGTATTAGTGCTGTTGAATCTCCTCTTCCAGTGGTTGTTCATAACAAGGTTTGCAAAAAAAAAAACCACATGTAACAGAAAAAATGGTAATTAGGGCACCCACTTATCTACATGAATGGTCCTAGGCGATGCCATGTCTTTTCTGTTAATGTCCCCACAAACGCCAGTGAGTACAACCTGGAAAAGCAGCATCCAGTTGAGTTCAAGAAAGAAGAAATGGCTCAAGGCCAGCTAATGAAGAGATTGAGATGCTACAAGCACTTCCAAGATCTCACCATTCCCATCTCCTAACACTGATATGTTAGAATTAATTTCCTCCAAATGACAAAACAATGGGAATGGAAGTGCAGGACTACATATTTTTTTTAAATAGAAGTAACCTTCTATGAAAAACATTTTTTTTTTCTAGGGCACACTGTTCTCATCGTGTATGCAGGAGTTAGAAATGTTTTCTTCTTCTACAGTATATGTCTGTGAAAGTTTTTGTTTAATCAAGTCATGGTATAGCTCAGCAATGGGCAAACTACGGCCCGCGGGCCGTATTCGGCCCGGCGGACCTTTTAATACGGCCCGCGGAGCTAGGCTCCTCTCACAGTCCGCCCTGAAGACCGGCGTAGCATGAAAATCTCCTATGAGGATCTGTCCCCCTCGACGTATCTGCGCATGTGCTGGAGATCGCCGATCGGCTGCTAATGCCTGAAACTGGCACATGCGCAGATACGTCGAGGGGGACAGATCCTCATAGGAGACAGATTTTCATGCTACACCTGAACGGCGCGGGACACGGGGAACGCGCGAAGCAAAGAATTACTATGGGGGACGAATTACTATATGGGGGATGAATTACTATATGGGGGATAAATTACTATGGGGGTGAATTACTATGGGGGGATGAATTACTATATTACTATATGGGGGATGAATTACTATATGGGGGATGAATTACTATATGGGGGATTAATTACTATGCTTACTATGGGGGAATATTACTATACTTACTATGGATGACACATACACATTCATCTACTCTTGGTCCGGCCCCTGGGTCCAATATATGAACCCATTGCGGCCCTCAAGTCAAAAAGTTTGCCCACCCCTGGTATAGCTCATAGTAGTTGGCCACATTCAACTGGACTTGCTCTGTGATGCTAAAGAGCTTTCACTGCTTATTCATGCCACGTCTTTAATTCTACCTGCTATTAGCTTCTACGGCATGCCTTTTACAACTGCAGTCAGGAGTATTAATATTTTACTCTTATTTTACCAAATCATTGAAAATGAAAAGAAAAAAATGTAAGTTATGCTTCTGGGAAATAAAGATGAAACTGGACAACATCTGGTAAATAATAACTCACCACCATTGTGAATAATACAGCTGATCTGCACTTTAGAAGCCCTGGACTGACTTTGCATATCCAGATTGTGACCCAACCAGTATTACCTATAGTGGATATAAAAAGCCTACACATCTCTGTTAAAATGTCAGGTTTCTGTGATGTAAAGAAATGAGGCAAAGATAAATCATTTCAGAACTTTTTCCACCTTTAATGTGACCTATAAACTGTACAACTCAATTGAAAAACGAACTGAAATCTTTTAGGGGGGGATAAACATAAAAAAAAAAAAATAATGTGGTTGTAGAAGTGTGCACACCCTCTTATAACTGGGATGTAGCTGTCTTCAGAATTAAGCAATCACATTCAAAATCATGTTAAATAGGAGTCAGTACACACCTGCTATCATTTAAAGTGCCTCTGATTAACCCCAGATAAAGTTCAGCTGTTCTAGTAGGCCTTTCCTGGCATTTTCTTAGTCGCATCCTACAGCAAAAGCCATGGCTCGTAGAGAGCTTCCCAAGCATCAGAGGGATCTCATTGTTAAAAGGAATCAGTCAGGAGAAGAGTACAAAAGAATTTTTCAAGGCATTAGATGTGCCATGGAACACAGTGAAGACAGTCATCATCAAGTAGAGAAAATATGGTGCAGCAGTGACATTACCAAGAACTGGACGTCCCTCCAAAATTGATGAAAAGACGAGACGAAAACTGGTCTGGGAGACTGCCAAGAGGCCTACAGCAACATTAAAGGAGCTGGAGGAATATCTGGCAAGTACTGGCTGTGTGGTACATGTGACAACAATCTCCCGTATTCTTCATATGTCTGGGCTATGGGGTAGAGTGGCAAGATGGAAGCCTTTTCTTACGAAGAAAATTATCCAAACCTGGGTAAATTTTGCAAAACCACATCTGAAATCTCCCAAAAGCATGTGGGAAAATGTGTTATGGTCTGAATGAAACCAAAGTTGAACTTTTTGGCCATAATTCCAAAAGATATGTTTGGTGCAAAAACAAGACTGCACATCACCAATAGAACACCATACCCACAGCGAAGCATGGTGGTGGCAGCATCATGCTTTGGGGTGGTTTTTCTTCAGCTGGAACTGGGGCCTTAGTCAAGGTAGAGGGCATTATGAACAGTTCCAAATACCAGTCAATATTGGCACAAAACCTTCAGGCTTCTGCTTGAAAGCGGAACATGAAGAGGAATTCCATCTTTCAGCATGACAACGACCCAAAGCATACATCCAAATCAACAAAGGAATGGCCTCACCAGAAGAAGATTAAAGTTTTAGAATGGCCCAGCCAGAACCCAGACCTGAATCCAATTGAAAATCTGTGGGGTGATCTGAAGAGGGCTGTGCAGAGGAGATGCCCTCGCAATCTGACAGATTTGGAGTGCTTTTGCAAGGAAAAGTGGGCAAATAAAGCCAAGTCAAGGTGTGCCATGCTGATAGACTCGTACCCAAAAAGACTATATGCTGCAATAAAATCAAAAGGTGCTTCAACAAAATATTAGTTTAAGGGTGTGCACACTTATGCAACCATATTACTTTAGTTTTTTATTTTTACTTCCCTTCACCTAAAATATTTCAGTTTGTTGTTCAACTGAGTTGTACAGTTTATTGGTCACATTAACCACTTGTCCTCCTGAGGATTTACCCCCCCTTCCTGACCAGGCCATTTTTTATGTTACAGCGCTGCGTTACTTTTTAACTGACAATTGCGCGTTCATGCAATGCTGCACCCTTATTAATTTTTTTTCTTGCCCACAAATTGAGCTTTCGTTCGGTGGTATTTCATCGCCTGTGCGACTTTTATTTTTTTGTGCTATAAAAAAAAAAGACCGACAATTTTGAGAAAAAAAACTATATTTTTTACTTTTTACTAATTAACATATCCAGTAAAAAAATCCAAAATTTATTCTGCTACATGTCTGCGCTAAAAAAATCCCAATATGTGTAAATGAATTGGTTTACGTGAAAGCGTTTACAAATGGAGGTATAGATACTGGGATTTTTTTTTTTTACATTTTTACTAGTAATGGCAGCGATCAGTGACTTATAGCGGGACTGTGGCGGGCATTCTGACACTGGGGTGAACTAACTTGGTTTCACTGACATCCCCAATGAAACCAATACAGTGATCAGTGCTAAAAAAAAAAAGCACTGACACTGTACTAATGGCACCGGGCAGGAAGGGGTTAACATGAGGGGCGATCAAAGGGTTAACTATGTGGTGTGTCCATGTGCTTCACTGTAAGCACACTGCTTTGCATGGCTGTGCTGTGCACAGCCATGCAAAGCAGTGTGCAGGAGCTGGCAGGGAGGAGAACTGTTTTGTTTACAAACAGTTCTCCCCCCCCTCAGAGATGCTCGGCAATTACCAGGGGTCGGCAAGTAATCACCATCCGGGACCCGGTGATTGGCGGCTGCGGATGGTGGCACTGGTAGGGCACGCGCACCCCCTACCCAGAAATGCAAAATCATATATATATATATATATATACACAGTGGGGCAAAAAAGTATTTAGTCAGCCACCAATTGTGCAAGTTCTCCCACTTAAAAAGATGAGAGAGGCCTGTAATTGGCATCATAGGTAGGCTAGGTCTTCCAACATGACAATGATCCCAAACACACCGCCCGGGGGGCAACGAAGGAGTGGCTTCGTAAGAAGCATTTCAAGGTCCTGGAGTGGCGTAGCCAGTCTCCAGATCTCAACCCCATAGAAAACCTTTGGAGGGAGTTGAAAGTCCCTGTTGCCCAGCGACAGCCCCAAAACATCACTGCTCTAGAGATCTGCATGGAGGAATGGGCCAACATACCAGCAACAGTGTGTGCCAACCTTGTGAAGACTTACAGGAAACGTTTGACCTCTGTCATTGCCAACAAAGGATATATAACAAAGTATTGAGATGAACTTTTGATATTGACCAAATACTTATTTTCCACCATAATTTGCAAATAAATTCTTTCCAAATCAGCCAATGTGATTGTCTGGATTTTTTTTCTCATTTTGTCTCTCATAGTTGAGGTCTACCTATGATGCCAATTACAGGCCTCTCTCATCTTTTTAAGTGGGAGAACTTACACAATTGGTGGCTGACTAAATACTTTTTTGCCCCACTGTATATATGTGATTTTGCACACCCATGCCACCCTGTAGCAGCGTATCTGCTATAGGGTGGTCGGGAAGCAGTTAAAGGTGGAAAAAGTTCAGAAATGAGTTATCTTTGTCTCATTTTTTCACATCACAGAAACCTGACATTTTAACAGGGGCGTGTAGACTTTTTATATCCACTGTATACTGTTTGGTGGGGATGACACTCCCTGAATGGCTGACTCCGGAAGAAAGAGCTTTTTAAACTCCCTTACTTTCTTTTTCCACTGTTCTTTGTCTCCTCATTCTTTACAAACCATCTATATCTGGTATTAACTTTCCCAGCGTGTCTTACTCAACCCAGATGAATAAAAAAAACATCATCTGTTCAGGTCAGTATAGGTACAAAGCCTTGAGCATATTAAGAGGTTTCCTCATGGTCTCAAGAAGCAGTTTGGATTTAGAGTGATAGAATAAAGAGTAACTTCTGTGAACATGGTTTCACCAATACAAAAATAGGTCTTCCATGCTCAACCAGTGACACAGCCCTACTATGTTACTTTGCTTTACTCTTATACTGTAGTCACTCTCTTTTAGTTTACTCTTGTTGCATGTCTACATTAAACCCATTAAAATTATAGGAACATTGAAAAATCAAATATGTGACAATTACCTGTGGTGGATCCACTCGTAGAAAAGCTGAAATTTCTCAGAGCCAAAGACACAAATATCCACATGGGGATTTGGATCCACATAATCAGGCTGGCTTTAACAGGGTGACAGTTATCCCGAACATACAGTTCAGTTACTATTCTTTTCATGTTTTTACGAAAATGAAATCTATTTTTAAAGAAAAGGAAAATATACATATAAAATACTATCATAACATACATCTTTTTAGTTAGCTGCAAAAGTTCTGCAACATAGCATGTGTGCTGAATGCAGGACAGTGATCTCATATAAAATGTGTCTACAGGCTACATATCTATGTTAAAAGCCTCTGATTATGGAGGGCATCTCTAATTACCAGGCCAAAGACTAGTTTCAGGGTTGCCACTCACAGCACAACTGAACTGAACACATAAAAGGTATGCATGGTTATTTGATGATTGTCACTAGCAAGATTGGAATATCTACTGTATGTCTAGAACTGATTTGAGAAGAAAAAATTAAGCAGTCAGGTTGGAGTCTTCAGATGACAGTTCCTATCTCTCCTGATATTAGAGTGGTGACAGATGTGTTTCCTGTGCACATAGATTGGGATATGACGCAGTCAGGAGATAGGAAGATCATTTGGCACTGGGCTCATCTGCAAATAGTTGATGGCCTGTGCTGTCAGAGGCAAAATTAACACCTGCTTTCCACAAATAAAAAAGTTCTCACCAGGAAATGAACATTTTGTGTTTGGACTAAGAAAATATAATTAATGTAAAAACATGTATTATTAAGCAATGTAAAAAAAAATCTCAATTTTGGTTTCCTTGAGATTTCACAGAACAATTTGTATAGAACAGTAGTAAAAGTGCTTGCCCAGACTACAGATCAGTGTTTCTCAACTTAATTATATTATTTACCCCTTTACAACATCAAGCACCTGATAAAATACTCCTTGGTATGTGTCAACTTAATCCATGTATCACCTAAAGTATGTATTTTCAATCCAATAACCAGAACTAATATTTCCATCCACTTTTTGGGACTTGCATCAAGTATCAACCTGTAACTGGGATTTTGTCCTCATTCACTGTATTGCTATAAGCATTTGGAACATACAGTGCATCCAGAAAGTATTCACAGCGCTTAACTTTTGCCACATTTTGCTATGTTACAGCCTTATTCCAAAATGGATTAAATTAATTTCTTTCCTCAACATTCTAGAAACAATACCCCATAATGACAAATAGAAGGAAGTTCGTTTTAAAATCTTTGCAATTTATTAAAAATAAAAAAACACATGTACATAAGTATTCACAGCCCTTGCTATGACACTCAAAATTGAGTTCTGGTGCATCCTGTTCCCACTGATCATCCTTGAGATGTTTCCAAATCTTGACTGGAGTCCACCTGTGGGAAATTCAGTTGATTGGACAGGATTAAGAAAGGCATAAACCTGTCTATATAAGGTCCCACAGTTAACAGTGCATGTCAGAGCACATGAAGTCCAAGCAATTGTCCGTAGACCTCCAAGACAGGATTGTATCAAGGCACAGATCTAGGGACGGGTACAGAAAAATGTCTGCAGCATTGAAGGTCCCAATGAGCACAGTGGCCTCCATCATCCGTAAATGGAAGATGTCTGGAACCACCAGGAATCTTCCTAAAGTGGGCCACCCAGCCAAAATGAGCGATCGAGGGAGAAGGGCCTTAGCCAGGGAGGTAACCAAGCACCCGATGGTCACTCTAAAAGAGCTCCAACGTTTCTCTGTGGAGAGAAGAGAACCTTTCAGAAGAACAACCATCTCTGCAGCACTCCACCAATCAGGCCTGTATGGTAGAGTGGCCAGACTTAAGCCACTCCTCAGTAAAAGACAAATGGCAAGCCGCTTGGAGTTTGCCAAAAAGGCACCTGAGGTACTCTCAGACCATGAGAAACAAAACTCTCTGGTCTGATGAAACAAAGATTGAACTTTTTGGCCTGAATGCCAAGCATCATGTCTGGAGGAAACCAGGCACCGCTCACCACCTGGCCAATACCAGCCCTACAGTGAAGCATGGTGGTAGCAGCATTAAGCTGTGGGGATGTTTTTCAGCGACAGGAACTGGGAGACTAGTCAGAATTGAAGGAAAGATGAAAGCAGCAATGTACAGAGACATCCTTGATGAAAACCTGTTCCAGAGCGCTCTGGACCTTAGACTGGGGCGACAGTTCATCTTTCAACAGGACAATGACCCTAAGGCATATTTGAGAGACTAAAATGGAACAAGTAATAGATATGTATTGTCGGCAATTACATAAATTTTAATTGTAATGTCCCTAGCACCCAATCAGATTCCAACTTTCATTTGTAAACTAGCACTAGAATAATTTTAGATGGGAGCTCACCGGCTACACATTGGGTTTTAACTCTGAAATGCATTTGTAAAGCAGTTTTAAAGGAACTACAGAGTGGAATCCGAATCTTTAATTGTAAGCTACGGAACAGTGTTCGCCTACTGCTGGTTTAAAACGAGAAGTATAAGCATAGCTTTTTTGGCCATACTTCTCCTGGGGATCAGAGGAGCGCACATATTTCTGCATTCCTGTGTCCCAGATTCAGCTGACAGCGGACCAAAGTCCACTGTCGGCAGACATCACAGAGCCGGTTTAGGCTCTGCATGGATCCCAACAATAGGGTTCAGTCTCTCAGCATGCTGCTGATAGCATGAGAAAGCTGTTCCTGCACCAAGCACAGCCTGGTGCATCAGCGAGTCTGCAGGGGCAGAGCAAAGAGCAGTCACTGCCTCTCTGTCACTGAAGATGAAGAAATGAGTGATGAGCGGTCTTTGATCGAGAGTCCTTGGTGTACAACTGGTGGGGTACAGCTGCAGCATTGGATTGATGCTGCAGCCATCTAGGAGTGTATTTATTGTTTGTTGTTTTTGTAAGCCCGCACTTTTCTTTTAACTTAGATTGCTTTGAAACTTCTATACAAGCCCCTAAAAGCATGCTACATGTGACCTTTTTCACTGGCTCATGCTCTTGTACAGCACCCTACAGGTAGTTTTGGGTACCACCTTCACATTTCCTCTTCTGCACTGTTACAGTGACTATTTAGTCGTAAGTACTCTGAAACTTACTTTGCATCTTTATCACTCCATCCTTGCTGCTTTCCATAGACAGATACCTCGTATTGAAGTTCTTTTGCTAAACGTTCAATCTCTGACTGCAAATTTTCCACCTAGCTGAAGAAAAACATACATTACAACAAATTAAGAGTTTGTTCAGCATTATATACTGTTGAATGCTGCTTCATATGCAAATATTACAATCTGCCCAGACACTAGTCAGAAAAAACACAGGAGTACAATGACAAGATGGAAATAAAGGGGTTCCATCTGTTATCTAAGACACAAATAACTTTTACAATTCAAGCTGACAATACAGAATGGGAGGTGGAATAAATCCTGCGGGCTGCTCAACCGCTAACAATTCAGTCACTCTCCCTTACAAGCAAACCCCTACTGCTCCCCCAATCTTTCCTCAACCCCCCACCCCTTTTCTTGAACCATTTTTTCATTACACAACATCATGAGATCCCAATATACTGCTTTCCATACACATCAATACAACCCTTAACATATCTCTGACCAGTTCACAATGACGGTGCTCAAAACTGGTGTTACCTCTCCCATGTGTGAATTTGCAACACACATGAGATAGGTTAACAACAGTGTGACTATCCATAGATGCACAGTTTAGCAGTGTCAGTATGTGTCAGTTAATTTGACAATAACTCTATGACAAATTTTTCAGCTTGACATAGGTCCTGAGAACTAGGAGCACACATTATTGTGCATTCCCAGTTCTCAGCTGCAAGGGTTAATTAACATTCTCACGACAAGGGGCATTTTTATATACAATATAATTCTTGAGACAGAATTTAATCATGATTCAATTTAATCAAAGTCCCATTTAATTCCCAACAGACTAAGCAGCCAATGCTCCATAAAGGCTAATAGGAATGTACTATGATGTGTAGCATCCTATCTATCTGTTTCCTACATCATCAAATAGGAAGGTCTAAATCTGATTGGTGGCTGGAAGCTCTCTGTATGTAAGAGACAGCAAACATCCTGTAGTGCGCGGTTTATCCATAGCCGGTGCACTGGATACTTACCAGATTACTGAAAAAAGAAAGTGGGATGGACTGGTGCACTACAGCAATGTTTGACTGAAGTACTGAAGAAGTACTCTATATGTAAAGCCGAACTTCATATGTACTTCTAAATACACAGATGAAATACCCATTAGGAGCCAATTTGTCAGCCAAATGATTTGTATTTCTGTCCATCCAGTTCTGAGATTCACACAGCTGTGCCACACAGCACTGCCCCATCTGCCAGGGCAGAGCACCTGACTTTTTACTTCTGGAGTTTAGTAACACAGCTCTCCCCTCTCTTCCAACCTGTGACTGAATGGCGAAAGGAAATGCAGCAGACTTGTGAGCTCATCTCTCTGTCACTCTGATTCTCCTTCAACCAGCATGCTCCTTCTTAGCACATGAATGGTTTGTCTGCTTGTGCTGATTCAATCTTTTAGTCTGCAATCTGCTGTACAGGTATTGCAAGGGGCTGATACCAAGTCAAATTTATGTACTTACACTGCTTGCATTTAAAAATACATTTATTGATGTAATAATGAATTAATTTGTATATTTTATATCTATAATTACAATGTGAAAATGATATCCTAAAACACCCTTACACCTATACTAATTCGAAATTGGAAAAAACTTTCAACCCTTGAAAGCTTGAACTTAAATAAATAGGTCCAAAGAAAATCTACCCTCTTTAAACAAATAATCTACCTATATGTGCAACAACAAAATTATCCCCATATAATTATATGCATAAACTGACACAAAATCATAAAGTCCAGTGTCTCATTGATCCAAAACCAAATCATAAAAGTCCAGTGTCTCGATAAAGAATAATAGAAAAAAAGTTGTATTTCTTGCAGTGTTGATTGTGAAAAAACCTCAAAAATAAAGAAACTCACAATAGTGCATTACCATAATATAATCAGAAGAAAAAAAAAAAAAAAAAAATTATATATATATATACACATACATGCACACATAAATGTGTATCATAAAATTGTGCAACTTTTAAGTGATATAAAATAGTGAAACACTTGTGAAAACCTTCCAAAAAAGGTAATAAAACACTCGTGCTCAAAAAATTATAAAATCCTGAAGTGATCCACTCAGTGAGATTCCTACCCACACGTGACACTTCTAGTGAGTAAGGCCAATATACCCTTACCAACAGTATAAAGAACCCACGCCTTGATCATATATTATGTAGAAATCCTCCAAAGGAACTTTATCCTCCTCTCCTCCTTCACTTTTTGTTAGGGTAATGTTAAAATGTCATTCACATTCATAGGTCTATAAAGCATGACGTACCTCCATATATATTCAGAGTAATATCATTTTAATGAATCTGCTTGCATATTGAATTAAAAATAAGCGGTTTGGACAAACCCCACTCTGTGGGGATTACCAGGCAGTTCCCACAGTTTCCCAGGCAGTTCACACACAAATATCCAGCGATTCCCCAACAAAGATGGCCGCTGTGACACTTCCGGTTCCTGCTCCTTGCATATAACGTCACTTCCTCTTCCGTTATACGCAAGGAGCAGGAACCGGAAGTGTCACAGCGGCCATCTTTGTTGGGGAATCGCTGGATATTTGTGTGTGAACTGCCTGGGAAACTGTGGGAACTGCCTGGTAATCCCCACAGAGTGGGGTTTGTCCAAACCGCTTATTTTTAATTCAATATGCAAGCAGATTCATTAAAATGATATTACTCTGAATATATATGGAGGTACGTCATGCTTTATAGACCTATGAATGTGAATGACATTTTAACATTACCCTAACAAAAAGTGAAGGAGGAGAGGAGGATAAAGTTCCTTTGGAGGATTTCTACATAATATATGATCAAGGCGTGGGTTCTTTCTACTGTTGGTAAGGGTATATTGGCCTTACTCACTAGAAGTGTCACGTGTGGGTAGGAATCTCACTGAGTGGATCACTTCAGGATTTTATAATTTTTTGAGCACGAGTGTTTTATTACCTTTTTTGGAAGGTTTTCACAAGTGTTTCACTATTTTATATCACTTAAAAGTTGCACAATTTTATGATACACATTTATGTGTGCATGTATGTGTATATATATATAATTTTTTTTTTTTTTTTTTTTTTTTTTCTTCTGATTATATTATGGTAATGCACTATTGTGAGTTTCTTTATTTTTGAGGTTTTTTTCACAATCAACACTGCAAGAAATACAACTTTTTTTCTATTATTTTTTATCGAGACACTGGACTTTTATGATTTGGTTTTGGATCAATGAGACACTGGACTTTATGATTTTGTGTCAGTTTATGCATATAATTATATGGGGATAATTTTGTTGTTGCACATATAGGTAGATTATTTGTTTAAAGAGGGTAGATTTTCTTTGGACCTATTTATTTATATTTTATATCTGCCTAAATTCCAGCTGTAATTTTCAATTCTGGAGTGTACCTTAACCCCTTTGCGCCGGCGACTCCCGGCCCTTTAAGAGTTCCAGAAGCCGGGAGGCGGGTGGGGTTTTAGGGTCATGTGAATGCCGTGATTCGCGATTCCCGATCACAAGGGAAGATCATGACCTTTCCGTGAGTCACGGACATACAGTGGGGCAAAAAAGTATTTAGTCAGCCACCAATTGTGCAAGTTCTCCCACTTAAAAAGATGAGAGAGGCCTGTAATTGGCATCATAGGTAGACCTCAACTATGAGAGACAAAATGAGAAAAAAATCCAGACAATCACATTGGCTGATTTGGAAAGAATTTATTTGCAAATTATGGTGGAAAATAAGTATTTGGTCACCTACAAACAAGCAAGATTTCTGGCTCTCACAGACCTGTACCTTCTTCTTTAAGAGGCTCCTCTGTCCTGCATTCATTACCTGTATCAATGGCACCTGTTTGAACTTGTTATCAGTATAAAAGACACCTGTCCACAACCTCAAACAGTCAAACTCCAAACTCCACTATGGTGAAGACCAAAGAGCTGTCGAAGGACACCAGAAACAAAATTGTAGACCTGCACCAGGCTGGGAAGACTAAATGTGCAATAGGCAAGCAGCCTGGTGTGAACAAATCAACTGTGGGAGCAATAATTAGAAAATGGAAGACATACAAGACCACTGTGGGGTCAAAATGATCACAAGGACGGTGAGCAAAAATCCCAGGACCACACGGGGGGACCTAGTGAATGACCTGCAGAGAGCTGGGACCAACGTAACAAAGGCTACCATCAGTAACACACTACGCCGCCAGGGACTTCGATCCTGCAGTGCCAGACGTGTCCCCCTGCTTAAGCCAGTACATGTTCGGGCCCGTCTGAAGTTTGCTAGACAGCATTTGGATGAACCAGAAGAGGATTGGGAGAATGTCATATGGTCAGATGAAACCAAAATAGAACTGTTTGATAGAAACACAACTCGTCGTGTTAGGAGAGAATGCTGAGTTGCATCCAAAGAACACCATACCTACTGTGAAGCATGGGGGTGGCAACATCATGCTTTGGGACTGTTTCTCCACAAAGGGACCAGGGCGACTGATCCATGTACAGGACAGAATGAATGGGGCCATGTATCGTGAGATTTTGAGTGCAAACTTCCTTCCATCAGCAAGGGCATTGAAGATGAAACGTGGCTGGGTCTTCCAACCTGACAATGATCCCAAACATACCTGCCGGGCAACGAAGGAGTGGCTTCGTAAGAAGCATTTCAAGGTCCTGGAGTGGCCTAGCCAGTCTCCAGATCTCAACCCCATAGAAAACCTTTGGAGGGAGTTGAAAGTCCGTGTTGCCCAGCGACAGCCCCAAAACATCACTGCTCTAGAGGAGATCTGCATGGAGGAATGGGCCAACATACCAGCAACAGTGTGTGCCAAACTTGTGAAGACTTACAGGAAACGTTTGACCTCTGTCATTGCCAACATAGGATATATAACAAAGTATTGAGATGAACTTTTGATATTGACCAAATACTTATTTTCCACCATAATTTGTAAATAAATTCTTTTCAAATTAGCCAATGTTATTGTCTGGATTTTTTTTCTCATTTTGTCTCTCATAGTTGAGGTCTACCTATGATGCCAATTACAGGCCTCTCTCATCTTTTTAAGTGGGAGAACTTGCACAATTGGTGGCTGACTAAATACTTTTTTGCCCCACTGTATGTGCTGGGAGTGCGCAGGGCACAACACGCTCTCAGCACATATGTATTTTCTAATGGCACGCAAATAAGCAGCCACTTGGTGTCAAGGCCCAGATGCCGAGATGCCGCATATTTCCGTGCGCTCAACATCTAGGGGTTAAAAAAAATACAGAATCTGAACCAAAGGTCCAGCTATTAAACAAAATAAATCATGTAGAAAGAAGAATACGCACCTTAGCTAAAATATACATCTGATATATTGACAGAGGGAGGGTTACCGCTGTTCTAAGCATAACAGTTGCACACATAATGTTGGCCCACCATGGTAATCCTGTAATTTCTTGTAGTGATAGAAGCACATTTTCAGCCAAATGAACAGGAGCTGAGTCTGCCAGTTTGGCATACACGCCACGGTTACTAGTCACCGGTCCGGTTGAAGCTGCTGCAAATGAGGCTAAAGAGATAATGTTCCTATTAAGGGGAAGCAAGGGTATATACGACGCAAGAAGACGACTTTTACCACGGACTCCAAGAGATCTATGGAAGCTGGGCAAAATCTGAGCAGATTGTGCTAGTCCTTTTTTATGATTTTTGTCATCAACTGTCCCAAAGGGCCTTGCATACAGACATCTTCTAGGCAGCAGTAATACACGGGAATTGAATTCGCTGCCTCTGCTCCAGATGGACAAGTTCTTCAATGAATGACAAAACATCATCACAAATCTGAAAAGAAAACATAAAAATGGAAATTCATCACTCTTTTTAAAAAAGGCACCCAAAGCAGTCCAAAGACATGCTGGTAGGTTAATTGGCTCCTGTCTAAATTGTCCCTAGCATGGGTATGTATGAATGTGAGTTAGGGACTTTAGATTGTACACTCCTTGAGGGTTAGGGACTGATGTGAATGTACCAGGGGCGGACTGACCATTTGAAAACTCGGGCACTGCCCGAGGGCCCGGGGTCAGTAGGGGGCCCCATGAGAGGCCCCTGGTACCTTTTTCATAGGCTTTTTTTGAGTTTGGGCAAGGACACAGGGGCCCCATGATCCCCTATTGCCCGGGGGCCCCATGAGTTGTCAGTCCACCCCTGGAATGTACAATATATAAATGTAAAGTTCTGCATAAATTGACGGTGCTATATAAGTACCTGAAATAAATAAAATAAATAAAGCAGAAAGCATACACAGATAAAGGGCCAATGATTTGACATTGTTATTACTAAATGTTGTTTCTGATTAAAGTTCTTCTTTAAAGGTACAAGTAAACCCAATCATAAAATATCACATTCATACAACATAATCTTCAACTTCTTTTAAATCTGCCATTTTCAAAACAGTGCTGGATCTTGGAGGTCCTTGTTCACGCACTTTCTGTTATATGGTGACCATGCTCTGTTCCTGCCTCCAAATATGCTGCTGCGTGGTCATTCTGTTCCACAAACTTCCCATGGAGACTACAAGTGGCCATTTCAACACATTATGCAGCATTGGCCCACTGGTTTTTTTTTTACCATCAGGAAACCCTCTCTGATAAAGAAAAACATGTATATAGACAGAAAAAATGCTGCAAAGAGGCTGTAGAAGATCAGCAGCACAGAGATACAGTAAGGGCTGAAATGAAGGCTATTATTTAGGATACACCATGCTTTAACAAACTGAGTAGAATATAGTTTGAGATTACATCTACATTCACATATCTTGGCTCAGCTTTCCACGGATTGGTGTGGTTAAGCAGCACCTGCTGGATTCTATGAAAAATACAAAGAAAGGCTGAATTCCACATTAGCGACAGCACAACTCTGCACAAAATTATCTAACAAATAAGGCCCCTTGCAAACGGGGCAAACTATCTGCAACAATGTGCCCCGGAGAGACAGGTGCAGTGTCCTGCCCTGCAGCAGGCAGCCTGTCAAAGTCTAAGGTGGGCTGTGGCTGCATGGGGCTAAATGCCATACAGAGTTAGGACCCTAATGTTCAGGAGTGATGTTCTAGAATGCAGTTCTGTTACTCCATTGGACACTTCCAGAACTCCACCTAAAGCATTTGTTTACCATTTTAAGTAGAGGAATGCAGGGGCAGGACCTGTTACAATTTTTTTCTTTTGATTTGCTGGATATCTCCCTACTTGGAAGAATACTCCCTCACTGTTGGTTTCAATAATAGTGGTCATGGACACAAGAATCAGTCATAAAGACAGGAAGTGAGAAGAAATCTCCCTAAAGTGGAACTTTAATCAAAAATGAAGTCCTGTTAGATCATTTCAGTCTGGCCCCTTTTACAGGTATAGCTAGGTAAAACATTAAAAATAAGTGTCTATACTGTGTAAAATCTAGTAACACACTGTCTCACCCTGCTTTGCACATGCTCAGTTGCTCTCTATTTTCGGCACTGTACTAAATTTGTAGAGGCCGATCTGCCGACAGCCTAAAGATTTACTGATGCTCAGGGGCTTTGGCAAAATGGTAGTCTACAGCAAGAAGAAACAAGAGCAATGCTGGAGGCAATTTACAGCACACACTAATTTTGGTAACATATAATAAGCCTGGGTTCACACAGGAGCAGAGGGGAAACCACATGCGATTTGGGCAGGAATCATACTGCATTCATGTTCAAATCGCATGCCATTCTTTGCGTCCATATATTTTGTATTGATGCAAATTGCACCGCAAAGTATCAGTTCTCTTAGATTGTAAGATCCAAGGAGCAGGGCCCTCCTAACCCTCTTGTATTGAACTGTATTCTCTCCCTTTATATTGTAAAGCGCTGAGCAAACTGCTATATAAATTCTGCATAATAATACTCCATACTGGCAAGTACTTGACCAAAAGTATCAGTACTCATACTCCCCATTTGAAAAAAGGTACCAGTGCATCCCTAGTTCTAACCCTTCCACCCTCTATACTAACCTGAAATAAAAATTTGCTAGATTTTAACCACTTCAGCTCCAGCAGATTTTACCCCCTTCATGACTATGGCATATTTTGCTATTCAGCACTGCAATAATTTAACTGGTAATGCATGGTCATGCAACGAGGTACCCAAACAAAATTCATATACACTGCTCAAAAAATTTAAAGGAACACTTTTTAATCGGAAACACTTTTTAATCGGAGTATAGCATCAAGTCAATTAAAATTCTGGGATATTGATCTGGTCAGTTAAGTAGTAGAGGGGGTTGGTAATCAGTTTCAGCTGCTTTGGTCTTAATGAAATTAACAACAGGTGCACTAGATGGGTAACAATGAGATGACACCCAAAACAGGAATGGTTTTACAGGTTGAGGCCACTGACATTTTTTTCCCTACTCATCTCTTCTGACTGTTTTTCACTAGTTTTGTATTTGGCTAGGGTCAGTGTCACTACTAGTAGCATGAGGCGATACCTGGACCCTACAGAGGTTGCACAGGCAGTTCAACACCTCCAGGATTGTACATCAATGCATGCCATTAACAGAGGGTTTGCTGTGTCTCCCAGCACAGTCTAAAGATCATGAAGGAGATTCCAGGAGACAGACAATTACTCTAGAAGAGCTGGATAGGGCCGTAGAAGGTCCTTAACCCATCAGCAGGACCAATATCTGCTCCTTTGTGCAAGGAGGAACAGGATGAGCACTGCCAGAGCCCTACAAAATACCTTCTAGCAGGCCACTGGTGGTAATGTCTCTGACAAAACAATCAGAAACAGACTTAATGAGGGTGGCCTGAGGGTCCAACGTCCTCTAGCGGGCCCTGTGCTCACTGTCCAGCAGCACATTGCTTGATTGGCATTTGCCATTGAACAACAGAATTGGCAGGTCTGCCACTGGCGCTCTGTGCTTTTCACAGATGAGAGCAGGATCACCCTGAGCACATGTGACAGACGCGAAAAGAGTCTGGAGAAGCCGTGGAGAACGTTATGCTGCCTGTAACATCATTCAGCATGACTATTTTGATGGTGGTTCATCGATGGTCTGGGGAGGCATATCCATGGAGGGACGCACAGACCTCTACAGCCTAGACAATGGCACCTTGGCTGCCATTAGGTATCGAGGTGAAATCCTTGGACCCATTGTCAGACCCTACGCTGGTGCAGTAGGTCCTGGGTTCCTCCCGATGCACGACAATGCCTGGCCTCATCTGGTGAGAGTATGCAGGCAGTTCCTAGAGGATGAAGGAATTGATACCATTGAATGGCCCCCACTCTCGCCTGATCTAAATCCAATAGAACACCTCTGGGATATCATGTTTCGGTCCATTCAACGCCACCAGGTTGCACCTCAGACTGTCCAGGAGCTCAGTGATGCCCTGGTTCAGATCTGGAAGAAAATACCCCAGGACAACATACGTCATCTCATTAAGAGCATGCCCCGACGTTGTCAGGCATGCATACAAGCATGTGGGGGCCATACAAACTACTGAGGACCATTTTGAGTTGCTACAATGACATTTCAACTAAATGGACTAGCCTGCTGCATAATTTTTGCACTTTGATTTTTGGGGTGTCTTTGAATTCAGTCCTCTATAGATTGATAATTTTCATTTCCATCCAAACAATTGGGTATCCTTACGTTTCTAACACATTACCCAGTCCATGTCAGTATAGATATCCAGCATGAGATTTTTCCCCATTGAGATCTGATGGGTTTTCAAAGTGCTCCTTTAAGTTTTTGAGCAGTGTAATTTTTTTCACACAAATAGACCTTTCGTTTGGTGGTATTTGATCACCACTGTATTTTTTTTCTGATATAAACAAAAAAAATCACATTGGGGATCGAGGGAAGTTTCGGGCCTTCCAGAACTCCTGCCAATTATACTTTGAACTACAACCGCGGACCTTTTCTTCCGAAACCGTGAAGGCAGGATTCATCATATCCCTATTACAGGGTGAACCCCAAGGCTGGGCTCACCGTTTGTTGGAGACTCACCACCCTCACCTGAACTCAGTTTCTACATTTTTTAAAGCAATGGTGGAACTATACAATGATCCGCAACGAGCTGCTTCTGCTGAAGCAGTTCTACATGTCTTGCAGCAGGGTCGCCGGGCAGCAGAGGACTATGCCTCAGAATTCAGGCACTGGAGCGGGGACACCCAGTGGAATGACGCGGCTCTGCATCACCAATTCCGCCTAGGCCTATCTGAACCACTGAAGGATGAGCTAGCCAGAGTAGGTGTACCTGGCTCCCTGGAGGGATTGATAACTCTGGCAATTCAGATTGACCGCAGGCTTTGGGAACGGAGGTCTGAAAGATCCAGTCAAGGGTTAAAACCCACATGGATGCTGCCATGGGTTCTGACCTTTCCGAACTCCCCTGCCAGTATTCAGAATCCAGAACCATCGGATTCGAACCGATGCAACTTGGGTTGATGTGGCCCTCCCTAACGTTTGAAGAGCGCCAGAGACGCCGGGTAAACAACCTTTGCCTCTACTGTGGAGCAGCAGGCCATGTGGTACGTTCCTGCCCGAGAAGTTAAGAAAGTGTTCTTCCACTGCTTCTGCTATGACTCCTGCTTGTTTAGATAAACCCTCTCACTTAGCCATACCGATCTCATTTCAGCTCCCCGGAAGAACCGTGCTGGTGACGGTCATTATTGGGGCCTGCAGTTGTTTTATTGATCTCAATTTTGCAGCTCAGCAGCAGATTCCCTTACTGACCAAGGAGCACAGCCTAAACATCCTCTTGGCTGATGGGAAATTAAATCTGAGTTGGTAGACCGGGAGACCCCCTCTATATGCACTATGATGGCCGG